AGAAAGAAAGAAAGAAAGAAAGAAAGAAAGAAAGAAAGAAAGAAAGAGAAAGAAAGGGAGGGAAGAAGAAAGATATATATATGTGATCTCTATCAGTTCCAGGCACAGAGCTCTTAAAACCCTTGGAATTTCCCAAGTGATAAGATTGAAAAGGGTGTCTTTTATAAAAAGCCCCTGTCAACCACACCTGGATTTATGTTTATGAGGTGACTTCTGGAATGCCCTAAGGATGGGGGCTGGTTGCCAGGGGAACCAACCATATGATTAGAGGGTTGGAACTTTCACCTAGCCTCCCACATCCACCGCTGGGAAAGGCTGAATCAATCACCAATGGCCAGTAATTTAATCAATCATGCCTGCATAAAGAAGCCTCCAGAAAAAACCAGGTATTTGGTGAGCGTCCAGGTCGGTAACCACGAGGAGGTACTGGGAGGATTGTGCACCCTCAGAGTAAGGATGCTCTGTGCCCTTCTCCCCATACCTTGCCCTATGCATCTCTTCTATCTGGCTGTTCCTGAATTATATCCTTTTATAATAAAGCAGTAATCTAATATGTAAGCTATTTTCCTAAGTTCTGTAAGCCACTCTAGCAAATTAGTGGAACAGTAGGGATCATGGGACTCTCCAATTTATAGCTGGTAGGTCAGAAGCATAGGCAACAGGCTGGACTTGGGGTTAGTGTCTGCAGTGGGACAGGGGCAGGACAGTTCTATGGGACCGAGCCCTTAACCTGTGAGAATGTGATGCTAAGTCCAACTGGATCTTGTCAGAACTGAATCGAGTTGTAGGACACCCAGCGAGTGTTGCAGAATTGTTTGGTATGGGGAGAGACTCCCAGACGTTTGGTGGCCAGAAACAAAGTATTGAGACTAGTGCTGGGAGGAGTGACAGGAGTAGAGAAGGAAAACAGGATTTCTCCTTTCCAGTGGTACTGCCTACACTAGCCCAGAAGTATCAGGGAAAGCTTTCTGATGGAAGTGGCAGTTAATGTGGGATCTGAAAGAGGAATAGTAGCCAGGTGATAAGGAAAGGGAAGAGCCTTCCAAGCAGAGGGAACTATAGGTGCAAAGGCTTGGAGGCCAGAACTTAAGACATGTTCAAGGAACTGAAAGATACTCAGGGTAGCAAATATGGGTTTGGGAGAGCCAAGAAAGGAGCTGGGAAAGGCTTGAAATGTAGGAATGACATGGTCAGATTTGTATTTTAGACAATACTGTCTAGGTATGGAAAATGCACGTATGGTGCATTTACGGGGTAAACTTGGAAGCAGGGAGACCAGAAAAGAGGCTGTTGTTATGTCCAGTTGAAGAGTAATAATGTTTAGGGGTACCTGGGTGGCTCAGTCGGTTAAGTGTCTAACTCTTGATTTTGGCTCAGGTCATGATCTCACTGTTCGTGGGTTCAAGCCCCTCACTGGGCTCTGTGCTGACAGTGCAGAGCCTGCTTGGGATTTTCTCCCTCTCTCCCTCTCTCTCTGTCCCCGCCCCCCCTCAAAACAAACAAACAAACAAACAAACAAACAAACAAACAAACAAACAAACAAACTTTAGGGGCTCCTGGGTGGCTCAGTTGGTTTAGTATCCGACTTCGGCTTAGGTCATGATCTTGCGGTTTGTGAGTTCGAGCCCTGCGTCGGGCTCGGTGCTGACAGCTCAGAGCCTGGAGCCTGCTTCAGATTCTGTGTCTCCTCCTTTCTCTGCCCCTCCCATGCTCATGCTCTGTCTCTCTCTGTCTCTTAATAATAAATAAAAGTTAAAAAAAAATAAACAAACAACTTCAGAGACACCTGGGTGGCTCAGTCAGTTAAGTGTCTGACTCTTGGTTTCAGTTCAAGTCATGGTCTCATGGTCCTTGAGATTGAGCCCTGCAAAGGGCTCTGCACTGTCAATGTGGAGCTTGTTGGGATTTTCTCTCCTCTCTCTCTGGGCCCTTCTCCCTGGCTTGCTCGCTCTCTTTCAAAATAAATAAATCAACATTAAAAAAACTCTTTAAAAAAATAGACAGGCTTTAAAACAAAAAAAGAGAGAAGTAAAAATGCTTGGACTGCAGTAGTAGTAGTGGAAATGGACAGATGTGGATGAAGATAGAGACGTTTAGGGCTTGGTGATTAATGAATTATGTGGATGGAAGAGGAGGTAGAGCCATCAATATCTCCCAGAAAAATATCTGATGAAGCAATGGTTGGATGTCCAGGGCTCTATAGAGACTCTTTCACCCCCCAAAATGAGGTATTGGTTGGTGGACGTCTGCTGAGACGTTAGGGGCCTCTCAGTGACGTTCATTTTCTTAGAGGAAAACCCTGCTCTCTGGTCTCAACCAGTGTTCTTACGAATGGTCTGGTCATGGCCGGTAGCACAAGCCCTGCTCTCTGGCCACAGGGCATGGGCTCCGCAGCTGCTGGTCTTACCCAGATCCATGGTGTGCACATCTGAGAAGCTCCTGCTTGGATCTGCTCCCCCAACAATGAAGACCTTCCCTCTCGTGGCATCACCAACTGGGGGTAAATATGAACAGCTGTGGCCAACCCGAGCACAGGGGCTGTCTCCAGGGGGGGTCAAGGTGTACCTGCCAAAGGAAGGATGTATTCAGGAGACCTGAGCGGAGAATAAACGGGGCCGTGTGTTCTTTCCACTCCTCATGAAATACTCACCAGAATGAAGAGTCTTATACACACACCCACCTTAAGTTGTATCCACCAAAGCAGTATTTCCCTCATTGATAATTGTCCCTACACATAACCTTTGACTTTTCAATTTCATCACCACTTGTAGCTCACATTAACCTAACAGGGTTGCACTGGACTAGTAATTGTCCCCATTTGGCAGACAGGGAAACTGACACCCAGAAAAGTTCAGTGGTGTGTCCCAGCATGAGATGGTACCTGTGAGCATGGTTTGTGAATTCCCAGCTCAGGTGCTTTTGAGATGTGTGACCTTTTAGAAGACATTTAACCTTTCTGAACCTTAGTTTCCTCATTTGGACAGTGAGGTTGGCAATGGTTCTTTGCTGTGAAGGTAAGATGAAGTCTTGTAACAATGCAGGGAAGGACTCAGTAAATGGTGGCTGGAGCTTTATGGCCACTCCCGTAGGGACCTACAGCCCCAACGATCCTGCCGCTAACCCATGATGCTCTGTCAAGGAATATTCTCCAAAATGTATAGATTTTAAGAGCTTTTCCAGATTACTCAGAAAGCTTGACTCAGAAGCCAGAGCCAGGACTCTGAAAAAATCAAATACAGGACCCATTCATCCTGTTCTCTAAAGTCACTCTGAATGCCAACCAAAAAACAGAATTCAAACTTGCCGGTTGGAAAAGAAGATTCGGTAGCTATTTTTCAGGCACTGGCTCATTAGACCTCTCAGGCATCTGGTACTCCTGACCCTTTCCTCGTTCTTGTACCTTTCTCCTCACCTGGCTTCCCCACATCCCTTCCTTTTGGTTCTCTACCCACTGTTCTGGCTGCTCTTTTCTGTTTTCTTGCTCTGACTCCTTTCCTACCAGCTTTCTCCTAACCCTTAATACCCTTGGATTCTCTTCTCAGTCTGTGTTCACTTACCCTGTCAAGTTCATCTGCACCGATGGCCTCAATTTACCACCCATCTACATACTCATCAGCGATTTCCAGTCTCAATTTCTTTTCCAGATCCCTCTTCTGATAACCAGATTCACATACCCTATGATCACCTGATGATTACTAACAATGTACCGTGTAGGCTGTGAACTTCATTACAATCCTGGTTTCCCTTAATCTGTACAAAACCCCTTTGAGGACGGTACTATTATCACCATCTGATTTTTACAACTGAGAACCCGAGACTTAGAAAGGTTAAATAACTTACCCAAGAGCACACAGCCACCCAGATACGTGGTGAATACGACAAAAAGTCCCTGCCTTCAGAGCCCTCACAGACTAGTCGGGGAGAGAAACATTAAACAGGTAATTTCACAAATACCCATTTTATTTTAATTGTGCTATAAAGGACTACAGGATATATATAGGGATATATACTATGAGAACATATCCTAAGGGGACCTCAGCCTGTAAGGAGAGGTGTGAGAGGGAGGGGGTCAGAGAAGGCTTCCTGAAGAAGCACCATTTGAACTGAGCTCTGAAGTATGAGAAGTTAGGTGGACAAAGAGAGGAATGAAAAGATGGAGGGAAAGAGTGACCCAGGTAGAGATCAGCACATACAGTACCTGAGTGCGCAGTGCAAGGCATGTTAAGGAAGAGAAAGAGAACAAAGGATGAGTAAGGGTATCAGAGGTTGGAAAAGACAGGCAGGGACAGGTGGGCCATTTTAAGGACTCTGGTTTTTATCTTAAGATCAAAGAGGCACAAAAGGGTTTTAAACCAGGGAATGCCAGGAGCAGATTTACGTTGGCTAGAGAGCAAGAGGGGACATGGGGAAGCCAAACTGGAGACCCTCCTCTCCAAGGTCCTGCAGAAGCATTGTCTCCTCTCTACAGCCTTCTGTGAGCCCTCCTTCAGTACTGATCACACTCACCGCCATCACCTGCTTAGTCCGTAACCCCCACTACTAGGAGACTATTCACCTTTGTACCCTCAGCACCTACACAGCAGCTGCCCGTCAGGCCATTGTTAGTTGAATAAAGCGTTGGTTGAGCAAGCAACCAAGCAGTAAGGCCAGTTTAATCCAAATCCAATTCCCTGAGAATCTTAAAAATGAGTCACAGCTTGAGGGAAGACACAGTGTTGGAGCTGTGGATGCCAGATGGTCAGTGCCTTATTCTTCCTAGTAAATGGATTTTAATAAAATCAACATCTGCTCTGTGATAATTATTGCCCCACTATCTTTCCTCTGAAGACCTTTTCAGACAGTTTGAGTCTAATTACCAGCAACTACAGACAGCTTCGTCTCTACCCTTTCACAGAGATGATCAAATATGTTAGTAAACTACTTATAAATGAAACAAAAACTCTTGTTTTTCTCTTGTTTACAGACCATGTTGCTTTCCTGGGCTTGTCTCCAGGCCCCAAGACTGGCAGCAGCTTCATGGTGTCCTATGCATAAGAAAAAAAGGCACTTTTTAGACACACAGGACAAATCAGGTCACTTCCTTCTTTAAAAACTTTCCTTTTGATGTGCCGATTTCTAGGGCTTGGTTCATCTGAATAAGCATTACCAACCTTTTGATATAAACTTAAATTTGGGAGGCAAACATAACACAGCTTTATTGACACAATTACAGGGCTTTTCTTTATTATGTTTTATTTATTTTTGAGAAAGAGAGACAGAGGGTGAGCAGGGGAGGGGCAGAGAGAGAGGGAGACACAGAATCCGAAACAGGCTCCAGGCTCTGAGCTATCAGCAAAGAGCACGACGTGGGACTCCAACTCACAAACTATGAGATTATGACCTGAGCCAAAGTCAGATGCCTAACTGACTAAGCTACCCAGGGGCCCCCAATTACAGAGGTTTTTTGGCTAAAGTTTTCTGTGTGTCTGTGATTTTCATGGAGAAGGGACATATGTCAAAATATTTTCAGGGGTGGGGCGCCTGGGTGGCTCAGTGAGTTAAGCGCCTGACTCTTGATTTTGGCTGGGGTCATGATCTCACAGTTGGGGGGATCAAGCCCCATGTCAGGCTTTGCACTGACAGCACAGAGCCTGCTTGGGATTCTCTCTCTCTCCCTCTATCTCTGCCCACCCCCCCATGCTCTAGCACTCTCTCTCAAAATAAATAAACATTAAAAAAATATTTGCAAGGGTCATAAGATGTTTATACTCATCAAAAGATAAAATATTTTATATATATATATATATATATATATTTTTTAAGCTTTATTAATTTATTTTAGAGGTGCCTGGGTGGCTCAGTCAGTTGAGTGTCTGACTTAGGCTCAGGTCATGATCTCACAGTTTGTGGGTTCGAAACTCAGATCATGAGGCTCTGTGCTGACAGCTCGGAGCCTGGAGCTTGCTTCACATTCTGTGTCTCTCTGCTCCCCCACTCACTCTCTCTCTCTCTCTCTCTCTCTCTCAAAAATAAAATAAAAACATTAAAAAATTTTTCTTTTGGGCGCCTGGGTGGCGCAGTCGGTTAAGCGTCCGACTTCAGCCAGGTCACCATCTCGCGGTCCGTGAGTTCGAGCCCCGTGTCAGGCTCTGGGCTGATGGCTCAGAGCCTGGAGCCTGTTTCCGATTCTGTGTCTCCCTCTCTCTCTGCCCCTCCCCCGTTCATGCTCTGTCTCTCTCTGTCCCAAAAATAAATAAACGTTGAAAAAAAAATTTAAAAAAAAATTTTTTTTTCTTTTAGTCATGTCTATACCCAACACGGGGCTCGAACTCACAACCCTAAGATCAAGACTCACATATTCTCCTGACTGAGCCAGCCAGGCACCCCAAAAGATAAAATACCTTAAAAGGTTGAGAAATACTGATCTCTGGGATAAATCCATGCCTCAACATGGCATTCAAAGCCTTCTGGACTCAACCTTTTCCCCAGGGACTCACCTCCACTGCTATAGTGAGCTACTGTTGCTATATTTGTTTGTTTCTAACATTTCAGGCCCTTTCATATCTCGCATCTGCGTGTTACTTCTGGTACCTGAAATGTCCCTTCCCTTCTGGTCAACTAGGAAACTCCCAACCTCCAAAGCCCAGTTCAAAAGTCCCTCCCTCAGTATAACCTTCCCTGATTTGTTGTTTTCCATTTACATCCTCAAGTTACTTCCTTCTCCCTCTGAAGGTTATCCATGAAGTCACCATCATTGCAGGGATCACTCTGAATGTGATTATCCATTTAAAAGTCCCTAGATTAGATTCTAGAGTAAATTCCAACAGAGCTGGGCCTCTCAGATTCATTCAAAGAACCTACCAATGGGCCCCGGCTTAGAGTAGAATTGAGGGATGAGTGAATGAAGAAAGTACATAGATGAGATTTCTGGGAGATGAACGAATAAATCCAACTTTTGGCCTAAGCCACTGACCGCGGTCCCCAAAGCCCAGTGGGTAAACTTCGTATGAGCGGAGACTTCATTGCAGCTACCTCTGCCAGTCCCATCCCCCAGTTCCATCCCCGCGTGGCAGCGACAGAGGACACAGTGTCGGGAGAGAACAGGCTGGTTTCTTTCCGTCAATGAGGCCGGGCCGGAACCCGAGCACGCCCTCCCCAGGGCTCTTCACCCGGCCCGGGCCCACTCCCCTAAAGGATGCGGCGGCTCCCGCCCAGGATCGCGTCAAACCCACGGCCCGGACACCCCCAGACCCGAACCGCATTACCTGCGGCAGCTTAGGAAGGTCCCGGACTGTGGCTCCGCCCCTAACATGGGCGGGGGTTGTGCCTTCGCCCCTCCCCCAGGCCCGGAAGAGCGGGACTGCCAACCGCTCGCCGTCTCCCCGCGTCATTGGCCTGGTCCCCAGGGCGCGCCCTTTGGAAGGGGACCGGGAGGGCTCCTACCCGCCAGGAATGTCGGTCTGGCTGTGCGTGTCTCGGGAGCCAGACTGGCCGGCCGTCCCTGGGGCCTTTCCTCCCCGGCGGAGTAAATAAGCCAGGGCTCCTTGGAAACGACTTAACAAGCGAAGTGCAGGGGGTTGGGCATCGGCTTAGAGGACGCAAATTCCTTCGGCAGCTGGGCTCCCCTGAAGGAGCTAGGGTGTTTTCAGTTCCAGCGGATGTTATAAATGGTTTTTGAAATGGTTTCAAAGACCCTTTCCTAGGTGTGAAATGTCCCTGCTTGGTCTTAGGTCAGTTCAAGCTTTGGTGTCTTAAGCAGCTGACTCATTCCATAATTAGCGTTTATAACTATGGCAGGCACTATGTTGAACCAAACGTGGCCCCTGGCCTCCTGGAGTTTACAGTCTAACTAGAGAGCGAAATTAAACAGAAAAATAATTAGGTACATTTGCAAAAAGTGCAAGGAATAAAATGTTCATCAACGAGAGCATTTGGGGGGAAGTTACTTTTCTCTGGGCCTCAGTGTCACCCATCTGTAAAATAGAGCTGGTAAGATTTCTGTCACAAGGTTATGGCGGGGAATAAATGAGCTAATGAATATAAAACGCTCAGTTCACAGCGGCTGGCATAGAGCTGGTCCTCTGCAAAGTATAATGCTATTCCTATAAATAAACTCTAGACACTAGTCCTGAGCTAGACTGTGCATCTGCATTACCTCTGATCTCCATGAGCATAGGTTCTCTGCAGCTTTCCTGAAAATGCAGAGCTGACTCACCTATGTATATGTTCCAGAGAATCCCACAATCACTTAGGAGGGCTGAGGCCAGTTGTTGTGTCACAGGAAACAGGAAAAAGCTAAGGAAGGAGATCTCAGGAGCTCCTGAAGTATAGTGCCTAGTGGGAACCAGACAGCCATGCTTGGGTTCAAATCCAGGCTCCAGCACTAACCATCTAACCCTGACATTTAACAAGTTCATGATTCTTCCTGAGCCCTACTTTCCTCATCTCTTGAATAGGATCATAATACCTTGAATACCAATTCTTGAAATTGTAACAGGAATTTATTAACATTAAAAATTTTTTTAATGTTTATTTTTGAGAGAGAGGGAGGTAGAGCATAGCAGGGAGGTACAGAGAGAGGAGGACAGAGGATCTGAGGTGGGCTCTGTGCTGACAGCAGAGAGCCCGATGCAGGGCTTGAACTCATGAATCATGAGATCATGACCTGAACCAAAGTGTACCACTTAACCGACTGAACCACTCAGGCTACCCTATAACAGGAATTTATTGACAAAATGGAATTCGAGGTCTGCAGCTCTCCTCACTGCTCAAATATCTTATTTCAAACACCTGGAGTCTTTATGAGTTCCCATTATTAATGGAAAAATCTCCACTGCTGTCTGCCACATTCAGTCATTCTGCTCTCCTTCAGGAAAGAAAACCAAGGCTAAGTTGGCTCTGCCATATGTCCATGTACATCTTGATGGAGATTTCTGCTCAGAGCTGTGGAATGCTCTGATGGGCCCTGTGTCTTTTGGCTAGCTCCATTTCAAGATTCCAAACTGGAGTTGCACATAAATAAGAAAAATTGGAAGAGGTCTGTGGGCAAAACAGCAACCAACTTTCATTGTGAGACCTATGCTTTACACTAGAAGTCACATTTCAGAAATTGCTGGAAGGAAATTTTGAGATCTATTTTTAAAATGGAAATTGAGGGGCACCTGGGTGGCTTAGTCAGTTAAGTGACCAACTTTGGCTCAGGTTCGAGTCCTGCGTCAGGCTCTGTGCTGACAGCTCAGAGCCTGAAGCCTGCTTCGGATTCTGTGTCTCCCTCTCTCTCTGCCCCTTCCCCACTTGCACTCTGTCTCTGTCTCTGTCTCTCTCTCTGCCAAAATTAAATAAACGTTAAACAAAACTTTAAAAAATGGAAATTGAGGCCCAGAGAACTTACAAAATAACTAGCCTACATAAATGGCAGAAACAGGAGCCTGGATTTACTGCTTTGCCAAGGAACACTAAGAACACATTCCAGGGGGCGCCTGGCTGGCTCAGTCAGTAGAGTATGTGACTCTTGACCTCAGGGCCCTGAGTTTGAACCACACATTGGGGGAGGAATCTACTTTAAAAAAAAAGAAAAAAAGAACATATGGCAGTCAGCATGTTCTGTACAGTTTTCAAAGTAAATGACCGATGTGTCTATTACCTCTTCTAAGAGCTCACCAAACACTGAAGAATGCTTCCCTCATCTCTCTCTGCTGTGGATGTCAAGAGTGAGGTTCACTGAATGAGGTGGGGCTGCAGGAGGGAGTTTGCCAGATGGTTTGGTAATGTGGGAACTGCCACCTGCTTTCGCTGCAAGGGGATACCATCTGCTTTCATTACCTACCTGTTCACTGACGTATCGGAGAGGGAAACAATGATGCTGATGACACCTTCCTTTCAAGCACATTATAGTTTGTAAAGAACAGTCATGTCCATCCCCCTACTTGCCCTCCTTCCCAGTTCTGAGAAAGTATCTTGAGTAGGATTAATTCCCAGTTACTGAGGTTCAGAGCCAAAAAAGTGAATTGCCATCTTTCTAAAGAGGACTGTAATCATAATTTTAAAACCTCAAAAATAATAGCATCTTTTCCTCATTTGGAATTTTTTCTCCAAGAAATTCTGAGCATGCCATCCTTATGTTGTTTTTTTTTTTTCCTAAAATCTCAAATGTTACCTCTTCAGAAAGGCCTTTCCTGCTCACCTAATACTAAGAGCTAACACATTGCACTCACTCTGTACATGTTATCACTTTAAGCCCTTTCTATATATTAACTCTGTTAACCCTCAGTACAAGTCTATACAGTAAGTATTATGCTTATCATCTCCACACGATATGATGGCAGTTATTATCTCCATAGAGAAGCCAAGAAAACTGAGGCACCAAAAGGATAAATAACCTTGCCAAAATCATGGTACGAGTAATAGAGCCTAGACTTGAACTTGACCATCTGGTGCTGGAGTCTGCACACTTTACCTCTACTATATTGCCAACCTAGGGTGCCTGGGTGGACCAGCCGGTTAAGCATCTGACTTGATTTTGGCTCAGGTCATGATCTCACGCACGGTTTGTGAGTTCAAGCCCTGCCGTCCCCTCCCCGCCTCATCCATCCCCATGTCGGCCCTACACTGACAGTGCGGAGCCTGCCTGGGGTTCTCTGTCTCCCCTTCTTTCTCTGCGCCTCCCCAAGTTTAAGTAAGTAAACTTAAAAGAAAAATATACCACCAACCTAAAGTAGGCTTCTTCCACTCCATTTTTCTTACTTACAGTACCCCTCCTTTCTCTTTTTAGCACTAATCACACACTGCAATTAGGTATTTGCTTATTTATATGTATATCATTTGTCTCCTCTGTCTCCATGAGGGGAAGGATCATATCTGTCTCATTCACATTATAAGTGCTATATAACTATTTAGTGAATAAATGAAGAAATGTATGCTTGTGGGCATCATTCATTCTGTAACACACTTAAAATTTTTTTTAAGGAGGGGCAGAGAAAGAGAGGAAGAAAGAAAGAATCCCAAGCAGACTCTGCATTGTCAGCGCAGAGCCAGATGCAGAGCTCAAACTCAAGAACTGTGAGGTCATGACCCAACCGAAACCAAGAGTCAGATGCTTAACCAAATGAGCCACCCGGGCACTCTGCAACAAACTAAAAATTAATTTTAGGCGTGCCCAGGTGGCTCAGTCACTACTGAGCTGTCACTACAGCATGTGCCTCTTGATCTCGGAGTTGTGGGTGTGAGTCCCACATCAGGTGTAGAGATTACTTAAAAAGAAAATCTTAAAAAAATTTTTTTTTACTTTGAAACAATTTCACAATTACAGAATAGTTGGAAAGAACTTCACTCGGAGATCTCATTAAAGTTTAGTCAAATGTCCCCCAAATACACTTTAGCGCAAGAAGATCCAGTACTGGGTCACTCGAACAACAAATATTGAGCACCTGCTAGTTTTGGATTTTATAAGTCTCCTAAGTGGTCTCTCAATTGCAACAACTACCTACTACAATCTCATACAGCAACCAGAGTGATACTTTTATTTTTTGTTAAAATTTTTTTTTTTAACGTTTATTTATTATTGAGAGACAGAGAGAGACAGAGCATGAGCATGGAAGGGGCAGAGAGAGGAGACACAGAATCTGAAGGAGGCTCCAGGCTCTGAGCTGTTAGCACAGAGCCTGACGCAGGGCTGGAACTCACAAACCCAGCGAGATTATTATCTGAGCCCAAGTCAGACGCTCAACCAACTGAGCCACCCAGGCACCCCAGAGAGTGATCCTTTTAAAATGAGTTATATATGTTACTCCTCTGCTGGAAACCCTGCAGTAACTCCCTGTTAGATTAAAAGTAAAACCGTTCTTTTCTCTCATCTCCTCTCCTCTTGCTCCAACCACACTAATCTTCCCATTTCCAAAATTCCATCTAGATATGCTTCCACCTTAAGTTCTCTGTGCCAACCTCTTCTCTATAATTGCCCTCAAGTGTCTGACTGGCTAACTCCCCTACCTCTGGTGGTTCTTAGAAATACATCACCCCATCTCCCTATACTGCTCCCCCACCCCGGCACTTATCACTTTCTAAAATGCTGTAGTTATTTAAAAT